TCTCTCTCTCTCTCTCTCTCTCTCTCTCTCTCTCGCTGTGCTGCTGTTGTCTGGCTCGCTCGCCTCTCGCGCTCGCTCGCTGTCTCGCTCGCTCGCTCGCTGTCTCCCCGCTGTGCCGCTCGCTCGCTGTCTCCCCGCTGTGCCGCTCGCTCGCTGTCTCGCTCGCTGGCTCGCTGTCTTTCTCGCTGTGCTGCTGTCGTCTGGCTCCCGTGATCGCCGCCATGTTCAGCCAGGTAAGTGACGTGTCAGACAAGTTTTATTAACAAGTTAGCTTTCAAACGTTTCTTTCTCAAGTTTTCCCTAACTCGTTAGCTGTTTTTGTCTAAAGCCTGAAGGCCCTTTTGGCGATAGGTGACACATATGATCTTCCACGACATTTCTCTTGAAATTTGTGTTTATGATGTAGTTACCTAACCGTCCTTCAAACATCATATTTCCCTACTTTTATCGTTTTGGTTTAACGAGGCCAAACACTTTGAATGCATGGTGCCCACTGCCCATCTCGAGTAAGTCTATACTGAAAACACTTATTTGCTGCGGAAACGGCATTCGCTCCTTTTCATGTTTGCCAGGGAGGCCTTCTGCTGTCAGTCAGGGCTCCCTTTTTTCTCCCTTGTCGTAGGATACCTTCTGCCGCCAGACCGTTAGTATAACCCGTCAGTCAAGAACAGACGTCAGTCAGGTCTCCGATCTGAACCTTGACCAACTAATTTTTGGCGGGCTAGTAACCAGTACCGGTGGACTGGCGAAACGCGGACGGATCGGACCTCGTGCTGTTTATGAATACCAAGACGTCCATTTCAGCCTGTGCTGTGAACACTAGGCGTCGTACTGGCCGGAGCTATTCAAACAGGCATCTGAATGGAGTAGTTTGGGGTGGACACTGGACAAGCTTCTTTTTTTTTTAGCTCGCCACTTGAGTGCCTAATTTGGCTCTACTCATGTTAGTAAATTGTTATCTTTAAAGGGACTATCCCACCTTCTAAAATTTTGTTAAAACCAGTTAAATTGTGCCCGACTTTATAGATTGGATGACCAGGAACACGGTTCTGGCATTTATTTTTCATTAAACATCTTAGGCTTCCCATATTCCAAACACAAACTTTCAAATATGTGACGTCACAGCCCAAAATTACATCCTTCCCCAGGCCACATTACTGTCATAAAGCTGATTCTTTTTACTCTGTAGGCACCACAACAAAGTTCAGACCAAGTTTTAAGCGATTTTTCAACGAACAAACCCATTTAAATCAGAATGACTAAACGAGGTGACGTCACACTAACGGTCGCTCCATGTTGAAGATAGGGCCTTGCGCAAGGCCCATTTTCAAATGAAGGGAACGAATTTCTTCAACACCAAGAGGCCGCGGGGGTTGCAACCTAGATAGATAGTGGTTTCTGAACCTCGCCGCAAACTTGGCTATCTCAACTCAAACCCCATGTTAAAGGGACAGTATCACCATTTTGATGAAATTTGACATTGCATAGGCCCCACCTTTCTGGTCCGGGAACTGAAGACCGATCCTCGAAGCTCCACACCGTTATCCCGCTATCGCCGCTCAAAGTACGAAAGGTGTACCACACTTTGAATCGTGCTTCACTATCTTCACTGTTTAAATGTTTGCGCCGTTTTGAATTGACCGCCAGTAATAAAACTTTTACCCTGGTCATTTCATCAAATTTTATAAAGCCAATACGTTTTTCGCACTTATTCATCACCGTTAAATTCATTAAATAGTCGTAGGCAATTTCCGCTGTTTCCTTCGGATTCTAGCGGCTCAACAAAGGAATTCCTCCAGCTTGAATCACAATCTCCCTCCAATGTATGACGTTTATCACGTGATTGTCACGTGATATTTTCTCCCATTGTCAATTGTCACGTCCAATTGTCACTCCCTCCAATTGTCACGTTATATTTTTATAGGCAATACCTAAGGCTACCTCTCCCTAAGAACAACTCAATCAGAAGAACGACCGCGTAAGCGTAGCGTCAATAATGTATTATCTGCGCCAGTTCTGTAGTAATTTTGCATGCTTCCAAACTGGCGGCCATGCTTGTATAGTGGTGGTTCGCTCATGAAAATGAATCATGAAAATGAAATGTGGTTGCAATATTTTTCACCGAGTTCGGTCCTTAAACTATGTTTTTCTGATTCAGAAAAATAAGAAATGCTAGTAAAAAAAAAAATCAGCTCCATACATGAATTTTTTTTCGATGATACTGTCCCTTTAAAGGAAATAGTTCACTTTTAACATGGGGTTTTGAGCTGGAATAGCAGTTTCGTAGCTTGAGCTGAGACTAGCACAAATCAGGAGCTTTTACGGCTCAACGATCACCCTAGACGAAGATATTCCATTTCTCGTTCCGAAAAGAGTGCCTTGTAGAGGAATGCGTGCCTTGCACAGGAATGCAGCCACGTCATCGTCAGCCAATCAGCGTGCTGCTTACAGCCAATGCAGTATGCGTAGGTTTGAGCTACGCAATATGATTGGTCAATGCGTAATAAGCTTCCGCGTCAAACATTATTTTACATATAATATAGTTCGTCCTATATTAAAATATAGAAAATAATTGTTTTTACAAAAAGGTTTTATTTTATTTCATGATTATTTTGAGCATAAAAAATCACAAATCAATAGCAAAATACTGATTTCAGGAAAGTGGACTGTTTCCTTTAAGCGTTTTCCACGAATTCCTTTCCATAGGCATTTTTTACTGTATTTTTTTCGGTCGGATCATCACTGCAAGGTGCGTCATACAACCATGCTTTATGGTAAATGGCTATCGAATGCGCCATCGCAAGTACCCAAATAGTGCCAGTGTCGGCGCCCCGGGGCTAATTTCACACTGATCGGGATCACATTGACGGCAGGTCCAGTGTCGGACCACGCAGCTGGTGGTCAGCGCCGACCACTGCGGCTGTCCCGGCGGCGGCCAGCTTGTTTGGAGAGTGGACGCGTCTCTCGTTATGGGACTGCCGGTGGTCACTGGAATGGGGTCAGGAGGTCGCCACAGATTGGTTTTTGACCCCCGGCCACCGGTCTGCTGAGGCATGCGGAATGCCGAGACACTGCTTACTACGTACCGGGGCATGGTGTATTGGTGTAGGGATTCATCATAGCTCGCTGGCGGTGTTGCCGTCTTTTGGTAATGCTGGGTCTCAGCTATGTTTCTACGTCTTCTGTTTCCAATTTTAACGAGCCATCGGCTCCAACGAAGGGTGGTTTTTAGTGTGGCAACCCGATGTAGCCTAACTGCCTTGACCCGGTAACCTGATCGTGGATTAGCGAGCGGGCCGATACTACGGATTTGCTGGACTCCAGGCGTTACATCGCCACCGTTCTCAGAGGCGATTCCGTGTATATTATGCAAGGGGGCGCTTGCAAGGTGTGCCTACTTAGTTATCTGGCGCTGGAGCGGCTCCTTCATTAGCGGATCCAGACAGGCTGGGCTCGACGCTGTGAGAGACATGCTGCCCCGCCCAAAATACCTTATTTGTAAAAAAAAAAACGCCCCACGTTTCGCTTTCTTTTGTGTTACTATTCATTGAATAACATTTTTTGAACTTTTTGATTGCATAGGTACGAGACGAAAGAAAGTTTTTTCATCAATTTCAGTCGATATGTGGGGCATTTTACCCTGATCCTGCAGTGCCTCATACCTACATGGTTCGCCAATATCTGATCAGGCGTTGATCATGGTCAGGAGTGTCAGGACAATCTTTTCTTCAGAGATAATCTTTCTGGTAATCTCAATTTGCCCCGTTCCGTCGTCTCTTTCGGCCGAGTGTCCATTCTCTGGAGTGGCACTGAATTTTCTACATCTTTGCGTCGTCTCTGCTTGCGTAATTCCGAGTTCTTGTTTAGGTGTCTTGCATGCTTAGTCTCGTGTTATTGCAAGGTGCCCAACGACGGCAGCTTCACATTATCTTTCCGTATCGGGCGGGTACGACGGAGGCGACGGCTAGTGTTGCGTACCCGCCTTATCGGAAATTACGTAAACCGTTTGATTGCCTTGTTTCAGACCAGTGTACAATTTTGGGTCCTCTTCGTATCTCCGATGGAAATGCGATTCCGTTTCATCAGCCACTCTGCACACCATTCCATTGTCTAGAATGGTTCTTTGCCGAAGTGACTGATCAAACGCTGCTACCCGTGGTCAAGGCGCGTCCGACCGTTGCCATCCCACCATCGCGTCGTCATGTTTTACAGCACTCTGTATGTGTCGAGTTTCGCAAAAAGTGATTCCCACACAGTTTATCTGGCGTTTTTTGCCGGCCGTTTTGTGAGTCAGCAGCGGCCTGTGGCAGCGGCGCCCGGCCGGCGGCCGGCGGGGTCAAACTCAGGTGACCCCGTGAGTGTCCCGTGTACGCTGCATGCCGCCCGACCCTCGCGTGGGAGGGAGGAAGGGTCGCCCGCCCGGCGCCCACATGATAACGAGCTGGCGCTGCCGAGATGGCGTGCTCCTCCCATTGTCTGTGAGGTCTCTGTGACGGGTGTGAGCGGTCGCGGTGACCGGGTGGGTTGCCCGGCGGGTGGTGTGTGTGCTGCGCCGTGTTTGGAATGTGCTGCGGGGTTTTGTGAGGCTGGATCACGGTGACTGTTGCCGGGCGGCGGAGCGGTGACAAGCGTGGCGATTGCTGCGCTTGTCGATTGTCGTAGAGGTGAGATGACTGATTCTACCTGCGTTTTCTGGCGTTTTATATCCACAAGCTGACTCCACTGATAAGTATATCGGCATGGTACGGTATATCATTAGTGTGTGGGTCGTTGTCCGTACAATCCTGATTGATTTCGACAGGTAGTGGCCTGCCTGATTTGGTCGGGCCGCTTTGGTTTGGGTTTGGTGATTGGTCTCCACTGGTGCGTCTCCTGTCAGTCTGTCCAACAAGTTTCGCTCGCCGTCAGCCCGTCTGACTTACCTCCTCTGTCAGCCCGTCTCCCCCTCTCCCCGTCTACCCTATACTAACTCCTCGTCTCTTCGCTGTCCGCAGGGTTACGAGATGTCGCCGGCGCCGGCGCCGGTGACCCCTCTCGTCTTCCACTGGTTCTACGCCAAGGCAGCGAGCTCGGAGTCCGAACAGCAGCAGCAGCAGCAGCAGCAGAAGCAGGAGCAGCAGCGCGCAGAGGCCGGCCGGCCCAGCGAGCCGGTCGACTGGCAGCCGTTCTCGCGGGGCGACTCGGCGCTACTTGAGCGCGAGTATCAGGCCGGTGAGTCCGAGTCAGAACGGGGCGGGGGAGGGGGCGGGGAGGTACGGGGTAGCGGGGCGGGGGAGCTGCGCAACGGGGGCGACGGCGAGGACGGATCCCGTGAGAATCGTCTGCAAGAGGACGTCAGAAGTGGTTCCCTCTCCTCTTCCTCACAAGAGGATCGGGAGGTGGCGCTCCTGGAGGAGCAGACACGGGGAGACAGGCAGAAGAGGTGTTCGTGTTCCTCCTGTTCCTCGGGCGAGTCGGGAGGACGGAGGGAGGGGAAGGAGGAGGAGGAGGAGGATCTGACTGACGCGGAGAGCTGGCACGAGGACTGGACGCAGCTCGACTGGCTCACCGACTGGTTCGGTAATGTCCGGGAGAGCGGCGGCAGGGAGAGGAAGCAGAAGGACCAGCCGCACTGGGAGCCGTTCAGTAAGGCCGATAGCGACGCCATAGAGGCGGCCTTCCGAGCCGGTGAGTAAACGTACTCTGGGGGTGTCGTTTGTGTGTCTTGTCTCAAATTTGTCGCTGGTATTGCTTAGAGTTGCATGCTGCAACTTATGGTCAATTAATTGTTTTCTTTTGAAGGTCACCATTTGATTTAATTAAATGTCCTACACATAAGCCATTCACCATTGAAATCTGAGAATACTGAAACATGATCAATTTTCACTTTATTTTGCATTTGAAAATCTGGTAATCAAATCTGAGTCCTGACAATGCGGTTTTCGTGCCTGTATTCTATTCACTATGCAATATGGTATTTGTTTAATGTCTTGTCTTATCTCAAATGTCTCATTTCTCTCTCATCTCATGCGATACCTTCATATTTTAGGGGTCCCACGATTACACTCTTTTGCTCCTGATTGCCAATAGGTTTACCATTGTGCATAAAAAGCCTTGTGGCATTTCACTTGTGCTTTGAAATTGACTACTGATATGCATTTTTGTAGAATTTTACATAATCCGGCGATTTGTCATCTTACGTGTTTCGTTGGTGCTAAATGTCACAAATGTCCCTCAGTCCGTAACTCTTCCGTTAGGGCTTGGCGGAAAAGAGAGCGTGCTGCCTGTTTCTAGACTGGGATTTCGCTCTGTTTTTGAATGCTTTTATTTTGATTTTCCTATAAAGTCATATGGAGTTAAAGCTAGGGTTAAGTGATGAAGTGCATGGTGGTTTTTGTCGAGCCGTATCGAATAGTACGGAGTTTGTCATACAAAATATATACACAAGAGAAAAAAGGGACAATGCCTCCTAGAACTCATCTTCCCCCGCTGCCCCTCTCCCCTCCGGTGACCCCCGGTGACCGGTCGGCAGGTACGGGCCGGCTGGAGCCCGTCTCCCCCCGGTGCCCCTCTCCCCTCCGGTGACCCCTGGTGACCGGTCGGCAGGTACGGGCCGGCTGGTACCGGTGCTCGGCCGACGCTACGACGTCGACGTGTCGGCCCGCTCGCTGCTGCCCGTCTACTGGGAGTGCGCTCCCGGCACGGTGCGCCGCTGCTCCTGGTTCTCTCGCGGCGTGCACGAGGCCAAGTTCATGCCCTATGAGGAGCACGTGGCTGAAAAACTGGAGGTGAGGTGGCGCGAGCTCAGGAGCCGCCCTTGTGGTGTGGTCGTTCGAGCGTGAAGATCACGTAGTGGTCGTAGTGGGCACACATGTAAATGAACAGGAATACAGAAGTTGGGCTGAACATGTGCGGAAAGTTTGAAGTCGGACGGAAAAATTATCCACATTGAAATGTATGCATATCGCGAAAATTTCTTAGGAAAACCTTTCGGATAATTACTGAACCTTTCCTGACTGTCCGTCGGTCCCTGCTCACAGGAGATATACGAGGAGTCGTCCCGGACGGGCCAGTGGCACCGTGAACCATCCCTGACCGTCCCTGAACCATCCCTGACCGTCCGTCTGCCGTTTCCTGCTCACAGGAGATATACGAGGAGTCGTCCCGGACGGGCCAGTGGCACCGTGAACCATCCCTGACCGTCCGTCTGCCGTTTCCTGCTCACAGGAGATATACGAGGAGTCGTCCCGGACGGGCCAGTGGCACCGCGACGTACAGCTGGGGGAGGAGGGTTACGTGGTGCTGCACTCGCCCGGCTGCCTGGTCCACCACCCGGGCATCACCCACGCCTGGGAGGAGGTCACCATGCCGGTAAGGAGGGTGACAAGGACGTACACTCCCCCCCCCCCCCCGCCCGGGCATCACACACGCCTGGGAGGTTACCGTGCCGGACGAAACAACGGACGAAACAACGACCGCAGAAACGTCATGCACCGTTTGACTCTGTAGGCAGAATTACCTTTCGCACATGAAAATTCGGCTGGCACAGGCCTGGATTCCTTGCATAGCGGTTCCGAGCCGTGCGGCACAGTATATCCATCCGGCGGTCCGGACCGTGCGGCACAGTACGTATACCCGTCAGGCGGTGGCGTGCCGTGCGGCACAGTCTATCTCCCAGAGGAGTTCGGTAGCTATTAGAGCAAAACGGTTATAACGTTTTATTTTTATTTTAGTGCCAAATATGACCTGAGAGATGGATACTTTTGTTCGTTGTTTCTTTGTGTGGTACCATGAAATGTCAATCCGTAATAGTTGATTCTTTTTAGTTGTCAATCGACTCTTCAGCTCGATGCATCGTTGATCAATTAAAATCTTGAATAGCTCGGATCGGGCTCCTTGTAAATGTTTACAGACCTCTTATTGATGGGATAGCTGCATCAAAAATGTGTTTACATTCGAGGTGATGTTATCGTTTGGAAGGTTATTGTTAGCTAGCACCGAAATTCCATACTGCTTTCCCCGTTCATGCAAGAACAAGGCTCGTGACGGAAATGCAATGTGTTATGACTGAAACGTTTTAACCGTTGTACTTCAGTTCCTGTATTACTGGCCTCCCATTTATCATTACCTAAGTATTTCTGTTAACTGATGGTCATGCATGCTTGTAATTTGAATGCCCACTACTGACCAGTGTTATTCGTTCTTCCTTTCATTTTCCTTTCATCAGCCACTATTTCACACATGTGTATGTGTTGCTCAGTGCTTTGCTTACTATGCGCCGACGATTTTTTTTTTTTGTTTCTCGGAACACAGGTTAGCCTTGTCATCTGTAGCTCGGCACAGCTGCGGTGCCAGCCGCCGCCGTCAGCCGGTAGCTGCGCTCCGTCACCCCCTCCCCCTCCCTCCATCTGCAGGACGACCCGAGCCGGCCGCGGCAGATGCGGCGCGGATGGAACACGGTCGAGGGTGCCGGCATCCCGGCCGACGAGCCCGAGCTCGTCAACCACCTGGTGTTTGTCGTGCACGGCATCGGCTCCTGGTGCGACCTCAAGTTCCGCAAGGTCACCGAGTGCGGTCAGTGGTGCAGAGAACTGTGGGAAGGACTGGTACTGGTATTGTACTGGGAAGGACTGGTACTGGTATTGTACTGGGAAGGACTGGTACTGGTATTGTACTGGGGAGGACTGGTACTGGTATTGTACTGGGAAGGACTGGTACTGGTATTGTACTGGGAAGGACTGGTACTGGTATTGTACTGGGAAGGACTGGTACTGGTATTGTACTGGGAAGGACTGGTACTGGTATTGTACTGGGAAGGACTGGTACTGGTATTGTACTGGGAAGAACTGGTACTGGTATTGTACTGGGAAGAACTGGTACTGGTATTGTACTGGGAAGAACTGGTACTGGTATTGTACTGGGAAGAACTGGTACTGGTATTGTACTGGGAAGGACTGGTACTGGTATTGTACTGGGAAGGACTGGTACTGGTATTGTACTGGGAAGGACTGGTACTGGTATTGTACTGGGAAGGACTGGTACTGGTATTGTACTGGGAAGGACTGGTACTGGTATTGTACTGGGAAGGACTGGTACTGGTATTGTACTGGGAAGGACTGGTACTGGTATTGTACTGGGAAGGACTGGCACTGGTATTGTACTGGGAAGGACTGGTACTGGTATTGTACTGGGAAGGACTGGTACTGGTATTGTACTGGGAAGGACTGGTACTGGTATTGTACTGGGAAGAACTGGTACTGGTATTGTACTGGGAAGGACTGGTACTGGTATTGTACTGGGAAGGACTGGTACTGGTATTGTACTGGGAAGGACTGGTACTGGTATTGTACTGGGAAGGACTGGTACTGGTATTGTACTGGGAAGGACTGGTACTGGTATTGTACTGGGAAGGACTGGTACTGGTATTGTACTGGGAAGGACTGGTACTGGTATTGTACTGGGAAGGACTGGTACTGGTATTGTACTGGGAAGAACTGGTACTGGTATTGTACTGGGAAGGACTGGTACTGGTATTGTACTGGGAAGGACTGGTACTGGTATTGTACTGGGAAGGACTGGTACTGGTATTGTACTGGTAAGGACTGGTACTGGTATTGTACTGGGAAGGACTGGTACTGGTATTGTACTGGGAAGAACTGGTATTGGTATTGTACTGGGAAGAACTGGTATTGGTATTGTACTGGGAAGGACTGGTACTGGTATTGTACTGGGAATAACTGGTACTGGTATTGTACTGGGAAGGACTGGTACTTGTATTGTACTGGGAAGGACTGGTATTGGGTACTGAAATGGAGACAGTAGGTAGACTTGTTTAAAAATTATCAATACATACTTTATCAGACTGAGGTGTCCCCCGGTCCTGCCTGCCGGCTGCCCCCACCCTCCTTTCTCAATACACAGTCGAGCTATGATGTCCCCTAAGCGCCGACTGACCCTCCTCCCTCTTCATGTTCAGTGGACAACATGACCTTAGGCCCTGACCGCCCTCTCCCTCCTCCCCGCACACCCAGTGGACGACATGCGGACGATGGCTGGCTCTGACTGCTCCCTCCATCCTATCTGCGTTCCCAGTGGACGACATGCGGACGATAGCGGCCGACCCCAGGCTCTGACTGTTCCCTCCAACCTCTCTGCACACCCAGTGGACGACATGCGGACGATGGCTGCGGAGATGGCGCGCTCCCACTTTAGCTCGGCTCTCTCCGCGGGCCAGCTGGGCCGGGTCGAGTTCCTACCCATCAGCTGGCACCACGCGCTGCACGGCGCCGCCGGCGGCCTGGACGAGGCGCTGCGGCTCATCACGCTGCCCAGCATCCCGCTGCTGAGGGAGTTCACCAACGACACCATCGTGGACGTGCTCTACTACACCAGCCCCATCTTCTGCCAGGTGAGGGAGAGAGGGCGAACAGAGCACCCTCCGCTAATACAGGGCTGAACGGTGACACCATATAGAACTTGAGAACCGTTGGATGAAAACATTACACATCGTGTGGCAAAACACTGGCATGAATTCTCTGCTGCATTATAGCCATCAGTGCAAATCTGAAACGTTTCAATTGAACGCGTTCCGTATCGTAATGTGTTCACGGTTTATTGTGCCATCAGACGCCTTTGTCACTGCCTGCAGACCACTTATCCTTGTGTCTTTTCTTTGGCTAGGTGATCCTGAAAACGGTGGGCGACGACATCAACTCCATTTACGGCAAGTTTTGCGAGCGTAACCCCGAGTTCCGCGGCTCTGTGTCGGTGGCCGGCCACAGTCTGGGCTCGCTCATCCTGTTCGACCTGCTCTCCAACCAGACCGGCGAGGCGCCAGACGCGGAGGTCCGTATCAGCGACTCGGGGCTCGGGACTCTACCTGGAGTCCGTTGCTTTGTTCTTGATGCCTACCCTACTGGATTTTTTACCACTTGGTGATTAATACTTAATACTCGGCTCTCAGTACTTGTAACTCGAAGTTCAAGTGTCAGTTTATTTTTCATTTGTCTATTGCTTTAATTTTTTTATCAAGTTTTTGATGGCACCTGTCCCGTTTCTCAGCCAGTCTGAGGCAGCTCAATTGTCCCAGCTGCCCCTGCCTGCCTCTAACCTCTGGCCGGCGCTCCGCAGCCGTCGTCGGAGAGCCCCGAGGAGGGCCAGCTGTCGGAGGAGGAGCGGTACACGGCTCTGCTGCGCGCCCTCAGCCTGGAGCAGCACGGCGACACACTGCGCCGGGCAGAGGTGACCGACGTGGCCACCCTCCGACTGCTCACCGACCAGGACGTGGAGGAGCTGGGGCTGCCGCTGGGCGCCCGCCGCCGACTCCTCCACTGGAGGGACAAGGCCAACAATAAGGTACGACGGCCACCGGTGCAGCGGCCGAGGAGAGTTCGGCAACGCTTTGTTGGCTGTTATTGGTTTAAATGATCTTTATCTTTTTTTTTCGAAATATGATAGTTCATGTTGCGGACTTCAGTCTTGTAGATCTCACGGTGCCTACTATAAACTCGTCGGAGTTCTGACAGCTGATCGTAAATGCGGACCCCGCCGGCTCCATGTCTGACCGCCCCGCTGCACTGGCCGATATTCTGACCCGCTCTGACCTGTCGCTCCAGCCGGGCGTGGACACGGTTACCGTCTCGTACGACACGAACACGGGACAGCCGGCCATGCATTACCCGCAGCTGGCCTTCAGGCCGGCCTGCTTCTTCGGCATGGGCAGTCCCATCGGTCAGTGACGGCCGCTGCCGGCGGCCCTTGGGGTTCGAGGGATGGGATGGGCTAGGACACCGGAGGGGGGGGGGACTGGGAGGGGGATTGAGAGGCGAGAGAGCTGGTCATTTAAAGCAAGCGTTTGTTGTCGATAAGTTTGGTATGCTGCTTTCTCATTACTTTGCCGTATTTTTCGGCGATACTTCCGTAACGCTCGCTATTTTTGTGTTTGGTCTGGTTCATCCAAAGTTGAATAAGTAATGGAGCTTAGCTTTTTAAAGCATAGACTCTTTATCACTGACCGTTTCGTCACTACGACTGCCGTTTTCAGCGCTGTTCCTGCGTATCCGCGGCGTGAGCCAGCTGGGCGCTGAGTTCCGTCTGCCCACGTGTGGCAGCGTGTTCAACATCTACCACCCGTTCGACCCGGTCTCGTTCCGCATCGAGCCGCTGATCGACGCCGCCAACGTGCGCCGGCGGCCCGTGCTCGTGCCCCACCACAAGGGACGCAAACGCATGCACCTTGGTGAGACGCTGGTGGGAAGGGCAAGTCGGGGGTAGCGGGGAGAGGGCGCCAGGTGTTGGCGGACGCTGGTGGGGTTGTGAACTTGAGCTGCTTTAATGTTGTGTTTTCGTTAAAAACATTCGGACAGAGCTTTGTGAAGCGTTAGTGTCCTCATTGCCCGGAATATGGCGTTAGCCGTCCAACGTGCTGTTCTATTCTATCCCTCTGCTACAGCTCATCCACTTGTTACCCGGCCTCACCACTTATGACTGCTGCAGCTGACTGAACTCTCCCTCTCCTCTCCGTGCAGAGATGAAGGAGCATGGTGTACTGACTGACCTTCTCCCGCCCTCGTCTCCCCACAGAGATCAAGGAGCAGGTGGTTCGGATGGGCACAGAGCTGAAGCAGCGGCTCATGTCGTCTCTGCAGAGCACCATCGGCTCCGTGTACAGCCTGGGCTGGATGTCGACCACCGAGACCTCTGCCTCGGTCACTGCCGACATGGACACGTCAGAGGAGACGACGGACGGACAGCAGCAGCAGTCGACCCAGCAGCAGCAGCAGCAGCAGCAGGAGCAGACGGGGGAGCCCACAGGACCGGTCAGTGCGGCTGGTGTGCGATAGTGTGTGACGGGAAGAGTTTGACGTGTATACTTTGTTACAAAGTTAAGGACTTAATGTTATCTTTTTCCTCTGATACGAGTATGTGTGTTACGCGGTGCCTCAGTTCTGCTCGTCTCACAAAGCTTTCGGATGCTCCCAGGGCTTCCCCAAAGCCCAGCGTGCAATGATTGCTTTGGTATGGCTAAGACTAGACATGGTTCGTCATCTCTGTTACCTATCTCTCATTTGAGTACGTTTCAGTTGAGTACCTACCCGCCGATGACCCCTGGGCTGGCGCGCACTGGCCTGTCTGATCACCATCCTTTCCCTCTCCGGCCCATCAGGTGGGGTCGCTGAACGGAGGCCGCCGCGTCGACTACGTGCTGCAAGAGCGGCCGTTCGAGTCGCTCAACGAGTACGTGTTCGCCTTCCAGAGCCACCTCTGCTACTGGTGAGTGAGACTCCGTGGTGCGGGTACACGGTACCGCGGTACGAGGTACGCTGTACCAGCTCCGGGGTTCCGCGCGATTAGGATCCTGTTAGGATATCCGCACAGTCGTAGTGGCCTGTTTGTTGTGTGTTGACGTGACTGTGAGTTTGGTTTAAGTGGAACGGAGTCGTGACGAGGTTTAGGACGGCACGGTACATATAGAAGGCGGAATGAGTTCCGGCGCCCAGCAGTCGGTGCGGAGCTGGTTTGATGTGCGTCTCTGAGAAAAGGGCGCTACCTATGCAGGCTGTGTTTCTGCTCTGTAGTGCACATTAATTGATGCACTGTCTGAATGTTGATCTTTTGTTTGTTGCACCCAATCGTGACGTCTCTCCGTGTGCCTTCGACAGGGACTCTGAAGACACGCTGCTCATGATTCTGAAGGAAACTCTGCGGGAGTCGGGTATCGAGGCTGACAAAGTGCTGAAGACGGAGTCGTCCACGGAGGCGGAGCCAGCCGCCGCCAGCAGTACCTCGGAGGCCGCCACGGGTACAGTCACCGCCCCCGCTGCCGCCCCCGCCGCTGCCTCCGTGTCCGCCCCGACCCTGTCCGCGCCCCCGGTGGCCCCCATACCTGTGGTGGTGTCGGAGGCCGGCCCGGTGGAGGACGTACCGCTCGTAGCAGCCGGCGTGCCCGGCCCGCCCGCGCCGGCCGCCCCCGCCCCCGCCCCCGCCGGGGCGCGCTCGGTTGGCGGCCGGCCGCTGCAGCTGCCGCCGGCGGCCGGCGGCCCCGTCGGCATGGACCCGACCGTGGAGAGGAAGGAGGGTGCCGCGCCGCCGCCGCCGCCGCCCACGGCCGGCTTCAGGCGGAGCTAGCCGCCCCCGCCCCCGCCCCCGCCTAGCCGCCGCTCTATGTGCCTGCGAAATGACTGCGGTGGAGCCGTAACTGTAGTGCCTGGGACGCCGTGCGGGTAACGGTAGCCGTGTGTAGCCAGTGAAGCCGGTTTGTGGGACCGTTTATGTGTTGTGGGGGTTGTGAGGCTGACTGCCGTGCTGACTGGATGCATGTTTCCGAACCATGGCCCGCTCCAGTCTGAACTTATCGTGAGGCTGTGCCGAACCGCAAACTGGCCAACAACTGACGACGCCAAGCCGTGAAACATGGCCCTTGTATGTATGTTTCGCTACTTTGCATGGGTCATGGGGTGTTAGCGATGGGGTGTTAGCGGTGCTCAATTTTAGCACCGGGCAGATAGCTGCAAGCTTAGGGCGATTTATACGTGTGGGCAGATATCGTGTCCCGTCCAAGGTGTGAATACCAAAGCAAATTCTTGAGCAAGCCTGCTTGCCATGAGTCCATATGGTAGTTGCTCGTAAGCCGCATATCTACCTGAATATTCTAATATTTATGTTTTCAGAACGGATTCCAACGTCACCCGTTTGTTTTGCCGTATCCTGGACTGTGGGTCCGCTGTCCCGGTGCGAGCGACTTTGGCGAGTGTCATTTGAGCGAGCGTCATTTGAGCGAACCATTTTCAGCGACTGGCAACTAAGCGAATATCAAATTGAGCGATTATCAAATATAGCGATTATCAATTTAAGCGAAAGCTATGTTTCAGCGACATCTTTTTCGTCGACTACAGTTTGAGCGACTGTCATTTCGGCGAAACACTTCATCGTCCCGTAACGGTGTATTTTTTTTTTTTGCGAGCGTACGTACAAAGAATGTTTCCGGAACTTTTCATGGTTTTCCGGAACTGGATGGCGGGTGTCACGTTCAAAGTTCAGACATTAAGCTCCAAATTTAATGCCACATTTCTCACAAATTCCAGCGGTTCGATTTCACCCCCCCCCCCCCTGCCGTTTGCCAATAATGATGACCAAACGTTTGTTCAGATATTCATATTGCTTGTGCTGTTTTTTTTTTTTGCGAAATTCCCCCGCTTGAATTTGGATCAGATCAGTTCCCCATGTTGTAAAATTTGTTCTTGCCCCAAGCAACGTACGAATTTCCAGATATTTGGGTGAGGTCCCTGAAACATAGACTGGATCCCCCTGTGCCATCCATCGAGTTTATTATTGGTCCTTGGCATTCCTTCCATCGTCCTATCTCTCACGTTCCACATTTCCAGATCAAGGTTGCAGAATGAGGCCAGATATTTTTTTGTGGTTTCCAAGCTTAAAAGCAAATTTTTAATTTGCCGCGCGCAGCTTGAAGCATGACACATACCAAGCGGGTACCTATTCCAAGGGCAAGAATTCCCGAAAAGTAGCAAATGATTGACTTCCGTCGCGTTCGGTTTCGCTGTAACTGTGTTCGCTTAATTGGTCCCCATTGACCTCCATATATTCGCTCAATCTGGTTTCGCTGATTCTGGTCCTCGCTTAAGTTGATCATCGCTGTCATTGAATTCGCCGACTTGACAATCGCTGAAAAAGTCAATCGCTTAAATTGATAATCGCTGAAAAGGCTTCGCTCAAATGTCGTTCGCTGAAATGACGCTCGCTCAGGTGTCGCAGAACCCCGCTGTCCAGTGCCCTGATGTCACACATCCCCGGTAATCCCCGTTATATCAGTGGCGAGGTCCCTTTGGGATTCAGGCTGACAGTCGGGAGTTCAGGACGTTCTGTTTGTCACCCGTGAGTCCCTGCAGGGGTCAGCTCAGCCACGGGGACAGTCGGGTCTCCCCAGGGCTCTCCCGGACTCCCATCTGCAGAGTACCCCGGCCCGAGTCGGTGGGGATACAGTTCAGCTCGCGGATGGCCCCTGCCTCCGAATGGTCATAACAGCGAGTGGGGAGTTCTGATGGACTGTGAAGTCACCGGACCGAACTATACTATGAACGTTGTTGAGTGAGAGCGTGCTGTTACCAGGATAATGCTGCCTAAATGGGAAAGCCTCGTGTGTTTTCGTGGATACAGAAGTGTGTATTTTTGTCAGAAGCTTTTGATACGCGAGGTTTCTGTAATTTCATATATTGAGGTATGTGGTGCTTCCTACGAGGTGAATTTGAGTGTACGGCTGTGCGTAGATATTTTAGTTGGTTTGCGTGACAGTGGCCCGTAGAAGCGTGCTTTATTAATTAGGATGCTAACGGTTGACCACGGTTCGACCGTTGATGTCAATGCAAGGTATCAGGTTGTCGAAGCATATTTATCTGTATGTGTGCATAATTATAATCCCGTATTTTCAGCCAGTGCACAAAGTACCCTGGATCTCCTGTGCTGGTCGGTAGTGCCCGTTTCTATCGATAGATGACTGTAATGTATGCGTGACTGACTTGGGATGGGTCTATCCTGTTGTCTATTCTGTTCAAGACAGTTATTATTTGACGCCTTTGTTTTTCTTTGATGTTTTCTTTCAATAAGCTAGGTCTGGACACACTTTTATGGACGCCTGACGTTAAATCACACAAAAATCCCAAAGTCTTGTTGCGGTTGACGGCTCTGTAAGTCGCATGCGTTGCTGCCACTGCGCTCTCCAATACAAATACTTTGATATTCTTTGGGTGTTTGTTTTGCTGGAGATGCGGCAGCAGTGTGGCCTTGTCTGTGTTTCGCTGTACTTTGGTCGGTGGGCCGTCTGGAGCGGACGGGGACGGGCGGTGAGGGGTGGGTGGGTGATGTGGATACGAGTAGACTCTGAGTCACCCCCGGTGCAGCGGTACACGACGGCCGAGCTGATCTCTCAGCTAGCTGCAGGCTGACCTCGGGAGGACGGCTGGCCTGGGTACCTACTGCACCGGGCCCGGCCGGTACTGGTGGAGGCTGCCGGTCAGCCTGTGACCTGGGGTCAGAGGTCAACTGTGGGAGTTAACTCGTCACAGGTGTCCCCGCCCGCCCAAACACACAGGGGAACACGGTGTAACCGGTCGTATATTGGGGATATGTTGGGCTATCGTAGCTCCGATAGCGAGTCTACGACCCATTTTGACACGTTCAATCGACACCGGCATGTATCAGGCACCGCCACCGCCACCGGCGTGCCACACCGCCATTCGCCACCGTGACGAAAATAAATGGCGCGTGGACAATGTGACTACATTAGATTACACTTCTGTTGAGTACACCGCTCTAGGCTCTTGGGACCTGGGACTTGACAATATTCACTAGAAACTCACAGGAAAACGTGCCTCACAAAGTTGTCCAATGTCCACAATGGGCACTGGGCAGTTCCGTTTAAAACGCAAAATGTAACATAAGAAAGGCGAGCAGCATTCCTACCGTTACGGGCAATGAAATAAGCCTGTAAACCTGGCAAGTCGAGTCCCAATGACTACACCTCGGGGGAATCGCAGTGTTGCTCACCTTAGAGCGGGTGAGGGACTGAGATTGAGCCTGGCGTGGCCCTCCCGTGTCTCAGCTAAACAGCTGGCGCCTGGCATACATCGCTGACGACTTCTCTGCTGGAAGGCACAGCGACTTCTGAGCACATTCACTGCTCAGTGCTCATGACTTCGGTGGAGGCTGAACTGCCGCCATTGGCAGAGACCTAGGCTCCGATCCTCATTGTGATCATGGCCCGAACGGCAGCAGACGACGTGCCACCGACGACAGTCGTCTGTCACCAGAAGACGATCAGACGGAGACTGAACAGACGGACTGGCAGACGGGCAGACCGACGAGCTAGTTGAAGAGCAGGTCGTTGTAGTGGCTCAGCAGGTAGGCGTTGGTCACCTTGCACGTGGTCGACGTTCGCACCACAGTAGACCGGTCGGCCCGCTCGAAGTTGGACTTGACCACCTCGTAGTATTTGCCGTCACTGAGAGCAGAGAGGACGCAGACTGTGATGTGTGACTCTGGAGCAGAGGCTGGGGTTGGTACTCAGTGCATCAACAATCTAATACAGGTCAGGAACAATGAACATTGTCAGGAGGAGCAAAGCATTGATTTCATGCGGGAACAATGCTGTCTTTCTCTTCTTTCAACCTTAAACTGGATCCCATCGTATTTAAATTCAAACTTTTTTCGCACTCCCCGCTGACCCTCACCTGAGAGCCCTTTCCCCACCTACCCTCCTCCCTGGCCCCTCACCTAAGAACCAGACAGCGCAGCTTCAGGCAGAGCACGACCCCTCCCCTCACTTACCCTCACTCCCCTAACCTGAGCCCCTCCCCTGGCCCCTCAACCTGAGCACCAGACCAGCGCAGTTTCAGACAGCGCACGCCCCCCCCCCCCCACATACATATCCCCCTGGCCCCTCAACCTGAGCACCAGACAGCGCAGTCTCAGGCAGCGCACGCCCCCCCCCCCCACACACATATGCCCCTCCCCCTGACCCTCACCTGAGCACCAGACAGCGCAGTCTCAGACAGCGCACGCGGACGGCGTCAATGGCCTTCTGACTTTTGTCGGAGAACCGGATGGTCTCCGGGTCCCAGCAGATCTCGAGCCGCTCCAGCTGACTGCAGCTGGTGGCCAGCGCGTCCATTATCTGATCCACGGGGATCTTCTTACTGAGACCCTCCAGCGTGAAGGTACCCATCTTCAGGATCCTGCACGGACGGATATGAAGTCAATACATAGATGAACGCCATGCTGTGTGTGACAGTCGGCACGTGTTGTTGGATAATACGGTTCGGATATGAAAATGATACTACGTCGCACAGTGCTTGCTTACGAGCTCAAGCGGAAAGCCCGGCGGCACAGGCTATTTCTTCGTGAACTTCGCGAGTACTCCAGTCACGCGCCGCAGCTGCTGAATAACGCCGCACCGTGACGTAATGTGACGCAACTGTCTGGACGTGACACTGCGAAATAAACTGTCACGGCACGCAGGGGCGTGCGGCTCGTACTCGGGATTTCTCGGGCGGTCGACTTGGCGTTCCGTTTATTACTCTCTCCGTTCTGCGTCACAGGGGGCTGAGCCGTGGAGGAGAGGGATTTGACTGACCTGAGGATGGAAGTGACGGGACGGTCGCTTACCTGACGTTCTTCAGCGCCGGGATGACCTTGAGCCAGAGCGAGTCGCTGACGTGCGGGATGCCGGATAGCACCAGGCCGTGCAGCTGGTGGCCGTACTTGTAGAGGAAGGCGAACAGGCCCTCCTCGGAGAGACTGTCGCACAGGTCCAGGTCGAGCGCCGTCAGGTTGCGCGGATTGCCCTTCTCGATGTAGGCCTTCAGAACCTGGTCGGTGAAGCCGTCCTGCTGGCCGGCGCTCAGCCACCTGGCGGCGGTGGACGGAGAACACAGTTATATTTAGTAGCGGGTAGGAGCCTCGAATAGGGTAAATTTCTCTGAGCTTCCTTCTTCCTTTGCTTCCTTGAGGGACACGAAACGATATAGCAGGGGCCATGATGGCACTCTTGTCAAGTAACCACGGAGCTTGCAACACAGGGCCACTCTCGTTATTCTGGTGAGCGGATCTCGGTGTCCTGGGAAGCAGGTGAGCAGATCTTTTAGGAAAGGTGCTTTAATTTAAGCCGGCAGGCTTCTGCACCGATCCTTTGTGTCACTGATTTCTGATGTTTTCTTTTTCTTACTTACTCCCCGTGTGACGCAAAAAAAATATATGATGATGATGATGATGATGATCTCACGTCAATCCTGGTGAGCAAGTCCCGGACCCGGTACCCAGGTGAGCGGATCTCAACTCAGACCCGGTATCCTGGTGAGCGGATCTCGTCTCAGTTCCGGTATAATGTGAGCGGATCCCGGTACCCTGGTGAGCGGATCTCACCTCAGATCCGGTTTAAGGTGAGCGGATCTCACCTCAGGCCCGGTATAAGGTGAGCAGATCTCACCTCAGGCCCGGTATCCTGGTGAGTTGATCTCACCTCAGGCCCGGCATCCTGGTCAGCTGATCTCACCTCAGGCCCGGTATCCTGGTGAGCTGATCTCACCTCAGGCCCGGTATCCTGGTCAGCTGATCTCACGTCAGGCCCGGTATCCTGGTGAGCGGATCTCACCTCAGGCCCGGTATCCTGGTGAGCAGGTCGATCAGACACTCGGTGCTCAGGTCGGTGGCAGTGATGTCCAGCTCCTGTAACATTGTCTTCTCCCACTCCACCGCCATGACGTGCTCGCTGTTCAGACCTGCCGGAGGTGCCAGTGGTCATAACTGCACGAGGGCCGGTGGCCGGACCTGTGGAACAGGGTGGCAGCGGAAATCAAATATATGCATGGCGGACACCAGGGGGCTGACACCGCTGACACCGACTTTTCATTAAATCGACACCAAGCAGGTAACGGTGCTTTTATGATTGTGAGGAGGAAACCAGAAATGAAATGAACAATGAACATTTGTGTGCAAAACATTTAATTCTCAGGTATGCGACAGCCTGAGCCGCTCTCGGCTCTGTTGAGATATGACTAGCAGGTTGTGGACGAAACTATCTGTAAGAATCTTGGACGAAACAAAGGAATGGACAAAGGAACAAACGAATGAATGAATGAAGAATGAACGATTAACGAATGAAAGGATTGTTATCGGTTCTTGAGGCGGTGATAATGCGTGGTCGTTAAATGATAAATTTTCCGTAACCCAACTTGAAGTTAGAAGTATGCAACGGAAATAAATAATACTATGACACTGCTTAACGTGCAGAAGAATTAAAATGAATCAAAATAACGACAAGATACTGGTAGCAAGTAAAACGCTGTACATCTATCAGTTGTGACACGATCTCTTGCGTTGCGTCCACTTTGGGTTTCAGCTCGTACTGTTAATCGAGATAGGTGCGCATTCTTGAATTTCTGTTTGGTGCTTGAACGTGCTGTGCTGTCCTGTCTCTAAGGGACAATGTACGCTCCAATGTCCACGATGACCGGGCGTGACTGTGTGTGGACTGCCGCACTATCAGCTCTAACTATCTGTTACTATCTGTTTTTTTTGGGCCGCATTCTCCCGCTGTTCGTCACATTGTGCCTATCATTACACACACATTCACGTGTAAATGGAAAATGCGGTGAAACCACTCAAAACAGGATGTGACATGACCCATACTGGTGATATGAATTTATATGATAAGTAGGTATGCTGTTCTACATTGGGTTCAAGTGTCTCGCACCAAAATGCAGTATGGTTTATGCTGCAGTATAATTCGCATTTATCATTGGAGTACATTGATATCGAACGGTGCGGCAGTTTCATTTGAATACCTTCTCAATGAAATCACTTGAAAACTTTAGGATCCTGAGTTGCAAACGGCTATTTCTAAAAAGGTTAAGCTAGAATGCACCGTTCTTGCTCACACCAGATGAGCGATATTTGTTTACATAGTTGTCTGATGTGTCGTCTCATTCATATTTGTTTGTGCTAGCATTGGTGTGTGCGCCGAGTAGCGGTGCTCACTTGTCTGCTGACACTGCAGGGACTTGAGCTTTCTGCAGCGCTGGAACAGGATCCGGAACGACGAGCCCGTGACCTTGGCACAGAAGTTGATGGCCAAACACTCCATCTGCAACACATCAGGACCGGGTGGGTTGCCCGTCAGCTCTCTGAAGATATCTGCCGTCAGACAGAGCTGGAGCGGAACCTCACTGCACGGACCGCCGCGGAGGACGGGCGCACTGGTCGGACGCCAGAGTCGCACCCTCTCCCCCACGGTCTGTTATATCGACCTAGCTCTCACCTGGATGCAGTTGGAGCTGAACGCCTCGACGTGCGTGTCGTCCACGAAGTTGATGCCGTACAGGTTGACCACCCTCAGGTTGGGCGTGGCCGACTTCAGCTTGTGCACGTTCACCACCTCGTAAATCTCCTCCTCTTCCTCCTCAATTTTCTCGTACGTTCCTGTAACGCAAGCCGGACCAGTGAACACAGCGAAAGAGGTGGAAAACTAGGACAGCGAAGATAATGCCTTTCTTTCAGGGATGCGGAGCCGTGGAAATTTCAGACGGCTCCGGCTCCGGCTCCGGCTCCGGAGAAAAAAATCGGCTCCGGCTCCGGCTCCGGCTCCGGCTCCGGGTGAAATGTCATGGCGGCTCCGGCTCCGGCTCCGGCTCCGAGTAAAATGATCCGACTCCGGCGGCTCCGGCTCCGGCTTCTTCTAAGTACATCCCCTATGCGATCAATTAAATACGGGTGGAAGAAAAAAGGCGATGGGATTGGTGCACGTTGCTTCTGTATTTGTATAACAAGGCTATTTTGAATACCACATTGTTTTACGCCTTGTACTGTCAAACCGAACCAGGTAAATAATTGTTTCCTCTTAAGAAAAGGAGCCGGAGTCGCCCCCTTTTTTGACGGCTCCGGCTCCGGCTCCGGCTCCGGGCTACATTGTTTCACGGCTCCGGCTCCGGCTCCGGCTCCGGGCAAAATATGCCGGCTCCGGCGGCTCCGGCTCCGGCTCCGGCTCCGCATCCCTGCTTTCTTTTCTTCAATCGTCGAATTCTTAAAGGTAGTGTGCCAGCTTTCCTGGACCGTATGGAGTTAATGGCCCAGATAAGGAGAACCGGATTTTTAGAACTTATCCATACCTTCAAAACTCATGGAAACGTCTTAAATGCTTCAAATTTTGAGTACCCCAGTGCGAAATTCGCCCCGACGGGTTGTCGGTCGTACCCCAACCACATTTCACACCACTATGAACAATAAATGCACACACTGAAATCGCTATTACCGATATGCTCATCCAATCAAGTTTCGATAAACCCGTTCATCATCATCTCCTGCGGTTTCGAACACGCCTGTTAGGTGGTGCGGTAGACCGCGCTCAAAGCCAGGGCCCCGGTAACGTGAGGTAGCCGAGTCGGGGCAGCGTGCGCTGACCCAAGCCGGGGCCGCGGGTCCTCCCGGTGTCATGTGATAGCCCGGGGCTGCCCGCGGGGATGCGGTAGACCGCGCCCAAAGCTGCGGCCCCGGCTTGGGTCAGCGCACGCTGCCCCGACTCTGCTACCTCACGTTACCGGGGCCCTGGCTTTGGGCGCGGCTTCTGCTCATACTTTGTGGTGCGGTGGTGGTGCGTCGGGCCGCGCGCTCTGACTTCGGCCAAGAAAAATGCGTCAGCTGATCATTGTCATTTCTGCCACTTGCGTGTGGTGAAATGGGGTCATAACTTAAGAGACGGCTTTTTCATATCAATTATTTTACATAAAATCATATTTCAAACCATAAATAATGTTCGACAGCCAAATAAAAGAAACAATACCAATACAGGCTTACAGTTTAAGGCTCGACATTGTGTTGTCTACGATTAGACAGCTGATAACTCATTCCCGTACGTCGTAACTCTATAATGACCTTTGCTTATTGTCACATGTGCGCCGCATTCGCGGTTGTTGCCGACGCCTGTTTGCAGGTCAGCCCACTACAGTTGTTATACATACCTATCGAAAAACCGATAAACTTTTAGGCGAAAAAGGCACTATTCCAGGCCCATTTTTGATTTTCTTTGCGATATTAGGTAAAAACAGAAGCTTCTTATCCTAGGAAAAATAAAATGGGAAATCTTTCAAAGGTGGCACACTACCTTTAAATGTAGGGGAAGGAGGGTGAATTGCGCCACCTTAAGGAAAAACGCTAATTGCAAGGAAACCACTGGAGATGTAAGCATGCACTGTTCACCATTTCAAAGAGGAACTCATGGGCGACGATTTAAGAGCCTCCCGATCAATTAAGAATGTTTCGTTTGCTTCTGACAGTTGCTTTTTCAAAAACATGCAAAAGGGCGCATTTATCAACAACTGATGTAAATTGCGCCAGGGGGATGGCGCAATTAGAACCCAATTGCGCCCTATCCTGTAACATGGCTAAGCAAAGGAGACGGAATGCATACACTCCGGCAGTCTATGTCATTGTGGCTTACTTGAACATGTATTATGTGAATCAAGCTCGATGCATAATAATTGTAGATATAAATTGCGATGTTTTTTTGCGCAAGTCAATAACTTTACTTGTGTCCGGTATACCGGTCACTTCACAAGCATATATGCTTGTGAAGTGGAACGAAAACGTTTGATGTAACCAACTAGATATATATGAACGTATGCGCCTAGACTGTTATATTTTCAATCGTTTCTCTCAAAGTTAATATTTTTTATTGTTTCGACAACTTTTTTGACATCAGTTCTAACTTTGTATCATAGCTGTCACCTCTCACACCTGAGTCCATGTTAAAAATGCCGTATTTCGTCAATTACACCGTAAGTTCATAGCCTAAATGGCAGCTACATTATAAGTTCGACGAGAGAAATAATTTTTGGACTGACGATGGCGGGTTGCTCCCCTGCCTGACATAAAACTCCTTCTTTATCGCAACAAGTTTATGATGCATTCATACTGTCGTGATACAATAGCTACACCATTATTCTATTTGCGCCCCCCTGGCGCAATTGCCATGGGCGCAGTTAAAATTGAGGTACTTTTTAATAAAAGCGTAGAAGTTACCATAAAGATACTGAAGGATGTTTACTGTTTCAGTGAAATATATTGAAAAAAGGATTTTTCTTTCCAAATATCACCCTCAAAATCACACATGTATCGCCTATTTTTATAGCCAACGGTTCAAAATGCTGCAAAAAAGCTAAGAAAACGCCATAATATCTTTGATGGCGTAATGAGCCTTGCTGATTGGCTTCATCGGAGAGCTTGGGCCATAAAAGGAACTATCCAGTGGTGAAAATAATGTTTTCGAAAACAAAATACTAAACATGCCATTGAATTCGTGGGAATGTGGGCGGGCGCAATTAGTTAGGAGGGCGCAATACACCCACTTTCCCCTAGAGGACGTAACAGTTTTCCAAGCTCGTAAGCAGCAAAAAACAAGAACCAAGAACCAAGAACAGTTTTCCAATAGGTATTAGGACGGGACAAGGACGTTTCGAGCGCACAGTATTACATTTTCAACGTCTTGCGCCGTTTCGAAACCCTCAGCTCTCTCATGCTCTCCCCCAAAGAAAAAGCGAAAAACTCACCGATCAAATGTAGCACCTCCAGGCCGTTGATGAAGTTGTAGATTTTTCTCATGAAGCCCTCCATGAAGATGACCTCAGAGAGGCAGATGCACAGGTAGCGCAGCCGAGTGGGGAACGCCTGTTGGTACAGAAAGCGTGACAGTTGGGTCACATCCAGACAGGAGGATGACGAGAAACACTAGAACAATCCAACAATGAGACTCGCTTCACCGAAAGCTTTAAGTACCTATAGGAAAACGCTACCCTCGTAATACGTACTTACATGTTCTTACATCTGTCAGATAACATAAGCGCGCGATGAGGCGACGTGCGTTTTTAGCTCTGTTCTCAGAAATCGTCCGGACTTTTTCATCTCTTGCTAAACAGCATCATGTAAACAGCAGACCTACATAAGCCAGAACTGGTTTACCGCGACGGGCTAGTTATTTTGGATAAACACAAGCCAGGCGAAGGGCACGGCGGACTACAGGCGAGATAGCAGGAAAGGAAACCAAACAAAAACTGGTGAAGAGTATCCGCGAAACGACATCCGTGTGCTGCATTAGACCTTGAAACTACAGAGACACATAAATCAGCTCTGAAGTGATTTGACTGCGGAGGCGATATATCAATGAAGGCATGTAATTAATACATTAGGTTGCCGTGCTCCCGTGCTGCGGCCGCCGGCTGACCTGCATCTCGCTGAAGTCGTGCAGCTGCATGGCCGTGGAGAAGTCGAGCAGCATGTACGTCAGGTTGGGACACTTGCTGGCCAGCTCGTGCAGCACGGCGTTGGTGGTGAGCTCGATGGGCAGCTCGATGTAGCGCAGCGAGGCGCCGAACCGCGTGCTGCCGGCCCAAAAATGTCGCGGGGTGAGTGTGGGTGCTGACCTGTCGGAGGATATTGCGTAAGTGTTGTTTGACACGGGCCTTGTTGTTTTGGAAGTATTGTTCGGACACGCGGAAGTGAACGTCTACTGTGGGCGGAGCTGTCGGATGTCAGGCTGTGAGCGATTATGTAAGGTCGATATTCGGCGATGTTGAATGTATTGTTGATAAGATAGTTGGTTCAATCAGGCACTGCTGAATAGTTAGACAAAGTGGTTCATTGTTGGAAAAGAAAGACGTATATCAAAATTATTTTGTCGAACATAAGCTGTTAGTGCTCGAGTCGGATCCTTTAGAAATGACTCAAAAGGTCGGCCTCAGTGCTCGGAGACAAATCCAATGGGATATTCTCGAGTATCCTCGACAGTCGACCCAGAATGCAGCGATCTCAGGTTCCATGAACGGGAGGCCTGTTAGCCCTCTGGGGGACGGCGGCTGTCGGCTGAGAGTTGTAACGTTGGAACGGTCTGTCAGCCGACCGCCTGACGCACACACCGCTCAACACCGGCCACCTGCCACTGACGCCGCTGATTGGCGGAACGGGACGTCACACCCTCCTGTTGGCTGGACCCGAACGTGTTACCTGGGAGGCAAGACAAAACAATTTGGAACCTTTAACTATTCAGTCTTCTGGTGCTCTTTAATACTTTTCGACGGGGTATGCACGTGGACCGGTGTCCGATCTGGGTGTGACGTCATGTTTCGTTTGGCGCGGCGCGGGGATAGATTCCTGGCCGGCTGCCGGCGTCCCCTAATGTCGGCGACATGGCCACAGGGCCGCGGCCACACAGACAGGCCGCCCAGCCAGCACTGACCACTAGCCAGCGGGAGGTCAAACTGACCAGCCACCGCTACGATCAGCCCGTGCCTCTGACCTGCCACCAGTCTGTCACCTGACCTGTGACCTTAGACCTACCTGGTGAGCCCTGACCCGTCAGCAACCAATGACCCTGACCTGTCACCTGACCTGTCACTCTGACCTTTCCCCCCCCCCCCTTGTTCGGCCTTGTCACTGCGCTGCACCGCGACGGTCAGCTACGTCAGCTCTTACCATAGCCACGGTCGCTAATGACTTCTCTTCGCTGTCGAGTTTTTTATTTGCCATCTATTTCCTCCCGTGTTCTATGATAATCGTTAGGAACGTATGAATAACTCCCATGGTCTTGACATCTACCGTACTGATCCTTCATCCTATCACACCTTGACCCGATAGTTGTCGCGACTCGAACTATGCAGCGCATTTCTCCAACACTAGCCCGCGGTCGCGCGCCGGGCGTCCGACGCATACCTTCAACACACCGACATCTTCGGCCGCATACCGAGTGACTGCCGCTCGCCCTGGTCTGCCCCTCCTCTGGTCGCCCTCAGCTCACCTGATGAGTCCCTGCAGGAACTCTGTGCTCTGCACGTAGAGTCCGGAGACCTCCGGCCGCAGGCTGACCACCGACCACAGGCTCGTGTCGTAGGCCAGCTGGCGCCATTTGCGGCAGACGCGCGCGTACTGGCTCAGCTCGCGGTGCGTCAGGAACGAGAAGATGTGCAGCAGCACCTTGTCGGGCAGCTTGTCGATGGTCTGCCGGCGGCCGAGGGCGGTCAGGTCACCGAGGTACCGGCACAGGGCAGCCCGAGCGGGCGCCGGTGCCGCTGGCAACTAGCCAGAGCGGCCACTGTTTTGGTCCGAAATGAGCAATGCTCACCGCGCTGTCAGCTACTCCTGGACCTATTTACACGATAGCGGCTAGACATAAAATGCTTTGGGTCTCTTTTTAGGAGCAGAAAGTACATATTATACTTATTATTTATTTGTATGTATAAATAAATTGCATTTCCAAAATAAATACTTATTTGTCAACATATTCGGGAACTTTATCGCATTCAGTAGGTATAAAAGGCATCACTTCAAATAAATGCGAAATCAACTGGAAAATAAAATGTGTTCTTCTGAGCAATGCGAGACTTGTTTCATGTATTGCACTCAATGGCAATTAAGCGCTCAAAGCTAGCGGTGGAGAAATAAGTGTGTTGTACAGCAGCAGGATATTGAAAATTGGTTAGCTCGATTAGTCAAAATATTATGCACGAGACACTCAATAATGCAACCAAACGAAGCACCGCCCAGTGTCCTTGGGTGAATAAGCGCCAGCTGTTTCAGGTCTTTGATTTTTGACAACACATACCATATTACAGCACAGTTAATGGCTGTCACAGACTGTAAGTAAGTCTACTTCTGCCGCGCCGCGGCGCGTCCTTAAGTCTGAAAAAAGACACCGAAGACACGTTTTTACATGGCCCAAAACCCTGAAGCCGAGCACACACGCACACGCGGAGACGGGCAAAACATGGTCACTCAACATACCGTCTTGATGCGTTTAGTTTTTCCCTTGCAGCTGTCATCGTTGAGAATGCCGTCCTGCTCACTGACTTCCTGCAGCACGGCTCCCCAGGCGATCTCCATGCCTGCCGACCTGACCTGACCTGACCTGACCTGACCTGGCGCGGCGGTGGCGGCGGCGGCGGCGGCGGCGGCGGCTGCCCTCCACTGAGCTCCCGGCAGCGGCGGCGGCCAACAGTCGCCGCAATACGGAGCCCGCTGGGTTAACGCTAAAAATACGCCGCAACTGGCACCGACGCGCCGCCGCCGCCGCCGGCGACCGCCGGTGTAGTTTGGCCGTATGGAACGTCGCGTCGTGTCGGGACCGACGGACGGGGGGGGGGGGGCGGGTGGGGGGGAGGGGCTGAGAGTCGCCAGCCAGACCAGCTGAGGTCGCTACACGGGCGCGTGGCGACCGCCAGAAAACCATGAAGGGTACGCATAACCGTACCTACCTTCTTCGGCCTTCGATTAAAGATCTATATAAATATTTGCCTATCTCGTTGTTGGGAGAAATTTCGTTGGGATAGATCCCCTGTTTGTCCGATCATGGACAACGAAATATTCGGAAACATCAAAACTTTCGCTCTATTTGGGTTCGTTTACTTCCTATGCATACATATACATGCATAGGAATACATACATACATATACATGTATGGGCTTAACAAGTTAAACCAGACTCGTTAGGGATAAGCAATTCTTCCACCCACCATCGAATCAACCTAGCCCTGTTTTGTGCCGGGAGTCGAAGTAAAAAATATTTTACACAACTTGTAATGCCCAATTTATTGAGCATTGAGCATTCTCAGTGAATTCTCAATTCATTCGTTTGCTCCCGGACGGTGGACGCTGACCGCCTGAATAGTAGGCTGTACCGCAAGACAGCTGATCTCTCAGTCGCTGATATAGCTGGAAGTGGAATAATGTGTATACCATCCGTTCCATGTCACCCTCCCCCCCCCCCTCTCCCCCCCCCCACACAAAGTGCACCCACGACTGCGACTTCCCGATGTCGAAGTCAAAATTTGCTTATTTTGCATGGGAACGCATAAGGAAGCGAAATAAGGGTTTTCTATTTCATATTCTTTTTAGTAAATGCCCCGCAGCGCCCAATTTCGCCTTCCTGTATCCGCCAAAGTTTGTGGTTACTGCTCAGTAAGCTTATCTTCTCGTTCTTTTTTATAATATACGGATCCGAAACGTTTTGCGAGTTACTTTTAACGTTCGACTATCAACATTTTACGTGGCCTGTGTCCAGAAAAATAACGAGGGGGTGAACCGACATTTTACTCAGCGGACGGACAAGTGGCTCCTGAGCGGTTTCGGTTACGACGGTGCTGCCACAGTGTCGGTTACAACGGTGCTGCCACAGCGGCCCGTCGGTTACGACGATGCTGCCTCGGCGTCGCTGTCGACACCCTAGGTCCCGTGAGCTCCGGGAGATGGCACTGGGGCTCGCACGTCACAGAAGGGCCCGCAGGTGCTGTATTCACTATAGGTACAGATTTACAGAAACTGCTCATACATAAACTATGCTTGCTGTATGCGTACATAGATGTGATTCGCTGAAATTCAGTTTAAGTTTAAGATTAAATAAAAGATGATAATCGAAGCCAATAATGTCGTCTTATCATCGCATAGGGATAATTCAGTCTGCTTTTAAGAAATTGCGTCGTCATAGCCCACTTTGCCCACATTAGCTGCTTGTACAATGTACAATGTTCGTTGTAGGAAAGGAATCATTAGTTACCTAAGTCATTAAAAATGACAATTATTTGCGTTTTAGCAAATTGACGTTTAGACCGTAGTCCGTACAGCCCTACAGCTGTTAGCTAAATACCTAGACACTAACCAAAATAAAAGTGTGTTAGGTATACGACAGCTATGTAGATGCTACCGACATTTTGAAGGACCAGGATAAAAACATAAAACCTCTCGTGACCAGCGTTACCGCTGGCGTCTCGCTGGTTTCCCCAGATTCTCACGAAAATTTCCCTATTTTAAAAATCATTTCCCTAGATGCGGTTAATTTCATGGAATTTGACGTACTTTCCTCATTTTAACCATTCGTGTTATAGTCGCTTCGTCCTAAAACAGCAATTAACTACATTCTGTAACGTTAGCGTAAGAGATTCTAATGAAAAGTGCTGGCATATAGCAAATTACTGTATGTGGTATAATATAAGTGGGTGGTAGGTATATCGCAAATTGTGTGTTGCGGGACGCGGGAAACTACCGTATGGGTAGCGGTAGTGCTGGCGATAAGAGATAAGTCGATGCATTATTTTGCATGCCGTCAGTTTGACCGTAAAGAAGTGAAATGCGCTATAAATTTTAAAAAATCACGCCAAAACAAAAAACTTTGATGTAAAAAATTAGCCGCACCCGAAATGGTACAAAGCATGGAAGCAGTTTGCTTTGAAATAATAGCAAAAATTATTTATACATGCATACATATTACTTCCTTTTATATCTTTAAAACGAGAGTATCAAACCTGAATTTTGTGAAAAATGTTCTCATATTTATTTGATATGACATGCGGAAGAATAATTCATGACAACAATGATTTCGATTGTTGAAAATACAACAATTTTCGGGTTTGTGGTATTTCCCTAGATTTCGTGTGAAATCCATATATCCCTAGACCTTCGCTGATTTCCATAGAAAAGGGAAATTTCCCTAGCAGCGGTAACCCTGCTCGTGACTCGCAGACGCAGCCAAAAAAAGTTGTTCAATCTAAATTGTTTTTACCTACTCGCTGTTTACTGTACAGTACGCTTAGTACAATTTGATTATACAATATTATTAATGTAGGTGTTGAACTACGAAAGGCAAGTGTCAATTTAGCACCATTGGAAGTACCTATCGGCTATAAAGGTTCGACACTTACAAATACAGACTTGTCTAATGTCTATTTATGAGCGGCTTATTATTAATTCTACTCCAAAATTACCTTAACGATTTCAATTCTCTTTTTTTCTTTGGTTAATATCTATTTTGCTATCCACTGTTACGCATTTCCATCGAATGTCTGTTATTGTCCATGTCTTAAGTAAGGAAAGATGTATTTTACATTGAACAAATTATAAAGTCGTCTTCTAGACTCACACTATTAAACGTCTTTAACGACTTATCAACCGTTCCAAGCATTATAATAAACGTTTAGTAAATCATTTATACAGCTATCGATAGTTTTCACTCATTTCACGCTGGTCACTGACCAACACCTTCTTTCCTTTACTTCCTCTTTTTCTGACCGTCCCCATAAGACCTCAACAGAAAAGACACATTGTTCCTGCCTGCCTGCAATTTTCCAGCAACCTACAGTTTTACGGTATTAGACCGTCGCAAATTATTCCCGCCGGTAATTGCGAAACACCTTAAAATAAAGGTATAGGTGTATCCGGAACCATGCTGCGCAACTGCAGGGTGCACGCACATTGCACAATACATTGCACGTTGCACCCTCGCATACTCGTAGATAACTAATGCTGCATTCATTATGCACAGCCAGTGAACATCTCACACACCGCGTTTAATTTAAAAAAGAACGCAATCAGCGTCATTTTGTTTCTATTTCCCCTTTCATCGCCGATGGGAATACGTTCCAGTGAAGCTAGGCTGCAGCTCTGTTTCTTTTTTGTGCCACTGACTAGCTACTCGCATCTCGAGTTTCTACTTGCATCCCGTATCCCGGACATTGCGAGATTCCCCCCAACTGGCAGGCACAGGCCCAGTTTCTACCCAGGTATAATGGCACGCCAATGGCACCCCTTCGCGTTCTGCGACCGCGCCGCCGGCCACTGACCGTGTCATATCGTTGCAGCTTGATGCCGTGGTGGACGGACAGCCGCCTCTCCAACTCTGGTGGCAGCGTGTCCAGCATGGCCGACAGCCGCTGCTTCCTAGCCTCGTCGTATGACGACGGCGACGGCGACGGCGGCGGCTGCGACGGCGACGGCGACGGCGGGGGCAGGCTGCTGTTCACACTCGCCTGACGGTCCAGCATCCTGCAACGTCAGCGTGAGTGTGTGTTACAGAGGACACCTCGGGACACTGGAAATTACAGGGTCTTTTTATCAGGCATGATGCAATGCTGGTTTTGCGCTCCATTCACCGGCACCCCGTTTGTAGGACTTATGCGACTCAGTCAACCGAACACAATTATCACATCACAGGCGAATAGGATACAAAACCATGGACGCTGAAACGACTCGAGCTCGAGCCTTGAAGTCAGCTCAGCGATCTAAACACATCCCCAATTTGAGAAGGCCGACATTGTGTCTTACGCGTCTTCAAAATTGTTTGCGTATGGGAGATGTAAGGCAGCAGGTTTAACTGAGCCACTTATCTCCCGCAGCTCTTATGCAGTCACGAGACCATCTAATTTCCCTAATTCCTATTTCCCTAATTCCTCATGAAGTGACCTGCACAGGTGACACGACAAAGCCGGCCAGTTCAGACGGCTCAGATGCTTGCACCGGAGCACGTGCTACGAAAACTACCGACGACACACGGGTATCGCGCGCCTGCGCACGGGGAGGGATGGGGAGAGAAGGTGGAAGGGCACAGGGCAGGCGCCAGACTCGGGTGACATTTGACGGCGTTACCATTTCTGTCGTGTTTGTGTCGGCACGATTAATGACTCAGTCGTATAAACTGGCAACGACCTCTCAAACGAGTCGACTGATGGCGAGATAAAGCGCTGCCAGGATGGCGCCGGCGACGCTGTGGGCGTTCATCCACTGCACTGGTCAACGGAGGGAGTAGGCTTCCCGGACGTCACTAAATGTCGGCTTGACCTCTGCCCTTTTGTGAAAGGATGCATATGTATTCCACAAATGGCAGACGTCGGACCCTTGAATGTCAAGTAAACAAGCCTCCTCTTCCTTACATACACGTTTATTATTTCCTGTCAAGTTCTGTGCATCGGAGTTCGGGGGACACATACCCGACACTTCATCGTATAAGTGTGTAAAAAGCGCTGCTAACCTCAGGCTATAACCAGGAAAGAACAGAGTGTGCATTGTGCGCTGCACTTACACCGTCATAAAGACATGTCGCGGGCCCGGTTCCGTTAAATATTTCTTACTCTTGATATACCAAAGGAGAAGCGATGAGACATAAATAACTAAACGTTCTAACTTACAAGGAATATCATTTTCAAGCAAAGTACCCACCCACTCTTACAAATATTTCGATCACATACAATGCAAGTACCTAAGCATGCTACTGTAAATGTATAAAACCTTTTTTACGCCCAATTTAGGCCGCAGTGCACACATTTCAGTTTAGTGCAGGCGATTTCGACAGTATGTACGGCATAGTCTGTCTAACACGAACTGTGGAATTTGGTTGCACTATATACCTATTACTGAATTGTGTGCACTCTGCCTATATCTGGCCGCAAAAAGGTGTAAATAAGCCTATGATGTAGTCCACGGGAAAAGCATGCGTAAGAAATTCATTGTAAACTCTCTGTAAGCTCGTCGCAGCCATGCTGTTCATGGAATAAAGCCAAGATGGTGAGTGAGGGAGCTAAACGTCTCGCCTTTTCTCAGCTCTTAAGCATTTATTGCTGAGAATGCGAGGACCACTTTTGAAGGTGAGGTGTAAAATGCCGTGTCAGGGTGATAAAGGGCGACTTGGCTGTCGCGGCTCGGCTGTTTCCTAATTAGTCTAGGTGTGACGCTAACAGAGCGGGGCCGGGACACGGCGGCCCGTCTTATTTATTGCTCTGTTGTCTTGAAGGGATTGGTGGCTGGCAGCAGAGGTGTGGAGCCCTATCCTATGGTCAGTGTCACACCGAAAAATGGGCCGGCGACATTTGCAGAGGTTCAAAGAAGAGCGCCGTAAACCGCATTGAAACAAGATAGCCTTGCTTTAGGCCTACATTTCTTTTATGCCGTGCATTAAAAAATATGTGGCCAAACATAATTACAATCTCTTATCTTTAACTGCCACGAAACAATTTATGCCCCATTTAAAAACGATGGGCCGATTGCTGCACTTTGCAGTTTTTAGATACCATACTCAATTTGATGAGATTTTGCAGCCTTATGTCGTTTATCATCACGACGACCACGAAGAAAACGGCACTAAAAAGCAACAGTCGTGCAAGTACTTTGCATTGTTTGTGGCGAGAGCTTATCCAAGCTCATGGTTGCCTACTTTAGATCCACTAGGGACACACAGGATACGTAGAGCCAAAATGATGAATTTGGTGCATACCCAAGGTAGTACCTAACCAATACCTAAGAGTTGCAACGTCTCTTGATTTATGCACTGGAATAATTTTGAATTATACACGGATAAAATATCGAGCATAATACAAATGAGGCTTGACATATGTCGAAGGGACAGGCTTTTGAAAGTCATTCAAAAGATAAATAAGGTTGAGAGCTTATACCTAATCGTGGTTGTAGGTACTAGGTACTGTGTCATGTTTGTGACATCAGATGGCATCGCGGTATCTGACGTATTTTGGTAATAAATAAACCATAAATGCATACCTTCACTTCTATGAAGTTAAATAATTTTCAGCCATGACCAAAATATTGAAACTTTTAATAGAAATATGCATAACCAAGACGCAAGTGCAACCATCCCGGAGCCGGGAGCGTGCCAGTTGCCACTGCCGATCTATACCAACTGGTGTGTCAGGCCTGCATCTCGAGATTAAGGCCCGGTACGACACAGAGCGATGTCGGCATTTCAACTCCGCTGACGTCATTTCCTGTCCCGGCGTCCTGTCGTCACTCGTCAGCCAGCCCACCGAGATGAAACGGCACACGCGCCATCTTTAAATAGACGGGCAGGCAGAAAATTGAGAATACCTACAGCGATCTCACAGAGCCTTTAACGTTGCCTTTAAACGCGACTCTGAACCTCTGTGAACGTTTAAAGGAACTATCCCACCTTCTAAAATGTTGTTAAAACCAGTTAAATTGTGCCCGACTTTATAGATTGGATGACCAGGGACACGGTTCTGGCATTTATTTTTCATTAAACATCTTAGGCTTCCCATATTCCAAGCACAAACTTTCAAATATGTGACGTCACAGCCCAAAATTACCTCCTTCCCCAGGCCACATTACTGTCATAAAGCTGATTCTTTTTACTCTGTAGGCACCACAACAAAGTTCAGACCAAGTTTTAAGCGATTTTTCAACGAACAAACCCATTTAAATCAGAATGACTAAACGAGGTGACGTCACACTAACGGTCGCTCCATGTTGAAGATAGGGCCTTGCGCAAGGCCCATTTTCAAATGAAGGCAACGAATTTCTTCAACACCAAGAGGCCGCGGGGGTTGCAACCTAGATAGATAGTGGTTTCTGAACTTCGCCGCAAACTTGGCTATCTCAACTCAAACCCCATGTTAAAGGTGGGATAGTCCCTTTAAAGGAAACAGTTCACTTTCCTGAAATTAGTATTTTGCTATTGATTTATGATTTTTTATGCTCAAAATGATCATGAAATAAAATAAAACCTTTTTGTAAAAACAATTTTTTTCTATATTTTAATATAGGACGAACTATATTCTATGTAAAATAATGTTTGACGCGGAAGCTTATTACGCGTTGACCAATCATATCGCGTAGTTCAAACCTACGCATACTGCATTGGCTGTAAGCAGCATGCTGATTGGCTGACGATGATGTGGCTGCATTCCTGTGCAAGGCACACATTCCTCTGCAAGGCACTCTTTTCGGAACGAGAAATGGAATATCTTCGTCTAGGGTGATCATTGAGCCGTAAAAGCTCCTGATTTGTGCTAGTCTCAGCTCAAGCTACGAAACTGCTATTCCAGTTCAAAACCCCATGTTAAAAGTGAACTATTTCCTTTAACCCGCGCCCCGCTGGGCTATTCAGCCATACGCGCCCTGCTGGGGGGGGGGGGGCAGATTCTGCCCCCCTGTCTAACTTCCGAAGCGATGGTCGTAGAAAGACGGGGAAAACGGCAATCGAAAGCTCTCAACAAGGCGGATCTTAAGAGCCCAATTTTTTGCTTAAGTAGGTAGTAGGTGAGAGGTCAGGTCAAGGTCAGGTCAAGGGTACAAAATGCAAGTTTCTACAGTATCGGCCTTGCACCGTAGTTGCCGAAGAATGGACTGAGACTGATCGCCCAAAACCTGTTCTTAGGCTACTAAGACAATATTTGTTGCATACAATATCATTCAAAGGTCAAGGTCAAGGTCAGGTCAGGTCAGGTCAGGTCACCAAAAACAAAATATAGAAAAGGGCATGTGCGACAGTGGCGGATCTACGTTGGGGCAAAATGGGCAATTGCCCCCCCTAAACGGAAAACCTCTGGGCAAACATATCTTTTTGCCCCCCCCCCCCTAAAAAAACTACAACTTGAATACTAAAAATATGGTGTTTGAAAAGAAAATGTGAAATAAATGGAGGACTAGAAGGTTGTCATATTCGTGATATTAAGTTGTGAGCTGATAAAAAGTCCTCCGCCCCATGAATGTCTGTCCATCATCCATCAGCAGTGCTACTACTGCTACTGCTACCAAAAAAATAAAATAAAATAACGCGATTTATTGAAACCTTGAACCAAGTAAACAAACCGTCAACAGCAGACCGCCAGACGCCAGTGGGGTCAGGGGTCACCACACTGGTGAGCGGTTGGACAGTGGTGGGTTTGCAAATTGCATGGGTATATAAGAAGTGTTTGCATAATATTTTATTGCTAGATAGCATGGGTGTAGGAGCTGAAAAAATATTGGTGGGTCTAAATATCCATTAGTACCTAGCTACATTAGTTATGTGGCTACATTAGTTATGTCCAGAGGCGGATACAGCCATTTCCAAAGGGGGTGCCAAAAGGGTGCCAAAGTCCGAGAGTCTCTACAAGAGCTGCATATGTGTATGCAGGACTGAGGAGCGAAAGGGGGTGCCAAACTCAGTTTTGGCACCCCGATTACTGATTTTGGCACCCCTGGCACCCGCCTGGATCCGCCAGTGGTTATCCGCTATTGGTTAATGTGTTTATATGGGC